ACAATGGGGAAATTCAAATTGCTATATCTACTCCTGTTCCCTGGAAAGCAGAGCCAAGAGAGCGCATAGCACAGCTCCTGATTGTGCCGCATGTGGGAATGGGGAAAAATGAAATTAAATGAACAGGAGGATTTGGAAGCACAAATAAAAAGGCAAAGCAGCTTATTGGGCAAATCAAATTACTGATAAATGTCCTACCTGTGAAATAACTATTCAGGGAAAGAAATTTAAAGGTTTAGTAGATACAGGAGCGGACATTTCAATCATTTCTCTACAGCACTGGCATCCATGTGGCCAATTCAACCAGCTCAATTTAACATAGTTGGAGTTGGTAAAGTCCCTGAAGTATATCAAAGTAGTTATATTTTGCATTGTGAAGGGCCTGATGGACAACCTGAGACTATTCAACCAATTTTAACTTCTGTACCTATAAATTTATGGGGGAGAGATTTATTACAACGATGGGGAGCATAAATTCTAATTCAAGAACAATTATATAGCCCTCAAAGTCAACATACAATGCATGAAATGGGGTATGTCCCTGGTATGGTACTAGAAAAAAAATTTCAAGGTTTGAAAAAACCACTTCAAGTGGAAAGACAAAGTTCCCACCAAAGATTAGGATATAATTGTTTATGGCAGCCATTGTTAAGCCTCCAGAACCTATACCTTTAAAATGGTTAACAGATAAGCCAATTAGGATACAACAATGACCACTAAGTAAAGAGAAACTGGAGGCTTTAGAGAAATTAGTTACTGAACAATTAGAAAATGGGCACATAGCTCCAACATTTTCCCCTTGGAATTCTCCAGTTTTCATAATTAAGAAAAAATCAGGTAAATGGAGAATGTTAACTGACTTAAGTCAGTTATTACAACCTATGGGAGCATTACAGCCATGATTGCCTTCTCCTGCTATAATTCCAAAAAGTTGGCCTTTAATAGTCATAGATTTAAAAGACTGTTTCTTTACTATCCCTTTAGCTGAGCAAGACTATGAACAGTTTACATTTACAATTCCTGTAGTAAACAACCTGCAGCCTGCTAAGCGTTTTCACTGGAAAGTGTTGCCACAAGGCATGTTAAACAGTCCAACAATTTGCCAGACGATAATGTAGGGCAAGCAATTTAACCTACTGGTAAAAAAGTTTCACAGTGTTACATTATTCACTATATGGATGATATACTTTGTGCTGCCCCCTCTCGATAAATATTACTCCAATGTTATGATCACTTGCAAAATTTGATTTCTCACTCTGGTTTAATTATAGCTCCCGACAAAATGCAGACTACTACTTCTTACTCCTACTTCGGGACCTTAGTAAATGACACTACCATTGTGCCACAGAAAGTAGCCATACATAGGGATCAATTGAAAACATTAAATGACTTGCAAAAATTACTAGGGGATATTAATTGGATACGACCTGCTCTAAGCACTCCTACCTGTGCCATGAGTAATCTGTTTTCTATCCTTAGAGGAAATCCTACTCTCACTAGCCCTTCGCAATTAACAAAGGAGGCTGAGGCAGAGTTACAACTAATTGAGAAGCAAGTCCATAAAGCTCAAATAAATAGAATAGATCCAGAGAAGACTCTAGATTTGCTAATTTTTTCAACTCAGCATTTACCTACTGGTGTTATTGTCCAAGAACGCAACTTAGTAGAGTGGCTTTTTCTTCCACATACTACACAGACTCTAACTCCTTATTTAGATCAAATCACTACTATGATAGGGATTGGGAGAACTCAGATTGTTAAATTACATGGATATGATCCTGGAAAAATTATTGTCCCTCTCACAAAGGCACAAACACAGCAAGCTTTTATAGATAGTCTTGCTTGGCAAACCCATTTAGTTGACTTTGTGGTATTCTCAACAATCATTTTCCTAAAACAAAACTATTTCAGTTTTTGAAATTAATTAATTGGATTCTCCCTAAAATAACTAAATGTAAACCAATTGAAGGTACTGAGAATGTTTTTACAGATGGGTCTTGTAATGGTAAAGCTTCTTATTCTGGCTTGAAAAGTAAAGTTTTCCAGACGCCCTATACTTCAGCTCAAAAAGTGGAGCTTGTAGCTGTAATTGAGATATTGACTGCTTTTGATATGCCTATTAATGTGATTTCTGATTCTTCATACATGGGTCATTCCACACAGTTAATTGAAAATGCTCAGTTACGATTTCATACAGATGAACAACTGATGACTTTATTTAACCACTTGCAAACAGCAGTTAGAAGTAGAATGCACCCTTTTTACACCACTCACATTACGGCTCATACAGCTCTTCTAGGACCTTTGACTGAAGGGAATCAAATGGCTGATGGCCTAGTTGCTAATGCAATATCTAATGCTAGACACTTTCACAATTTAACCCATGTTAATGCCTCTGGTCTCAAACGCAGATACAGCATTACCTGGAAAGAAGCTAAAGCTATTATCCAGCAATGCTCAACTTGCCAAAGGGTACATTCCTCATCTTTTACAGGAGGAGTTAATCCTCGAGGATTGGAACCTAATTCTCTTTGGCAAATGGATGTCACACATATTCCCTTGTTTGGGAGACTAGCTTATCTACATGTATGTGTAGACACCTTTTCTCACTTTGGGCTACATGCCAATCAGGAGAGTCTTCTGCCTGTGTTAAGTGTCACCTTTTGCAGTGTTTTGTGGTGATGGGCATTCCAACTTCTATTAAAAAAGATAATGCCCCAGGCTATACCAGCCAAGCTCTAGCTACATTTTTCTCTATGTGGAACATTAAACATATTACTGGTATCCCATACAATTCTCAAAGACAAGCCTTAGTAGAAAGAATGAATCTCTCCCTAAAACAACAGTTGCAAAAGCAGAAGGGAGACAGAGAATATGGAACACCGCAGATGCAACTGACTCTAGTATTATTAACTTTAAATTTTTTGAGCCTGCCCAAAGGCCAGATGTTATCAGCAGCTGAACAGCATCTACAGAAACCAGCTGCAAAGATAGAAGCCGAACAACTGATTTGGTGGACAGATCCAATAACAAAAAGTTAGGAAATAGGTAAAATAATAACTTGGAGTAGAGGTTCTGCTTGTGTTTCTCCAGGTCAAAATCAACAGCCAATTTGGATACCATCAAGACACCTGAAACCTTATCATGAGCCAGATGCCAAGGAAGAGATTCCGGGAGGATCCCAAGGACCCCCTGGTTGCAGCCATGTCAAGGCTGATGCTGAGGAGGACCCCAACTGTAACGAGCAACACCCGTTGAACACAGCCACCCACCTGGGGACAGATCAAGAAGCTCTCACAGATGGTGGAAGAAAACCTGAAGAATGCGGGACAACCAGTCACAATGAGTAATTTAATGGTAGCTATGACGGCAGTGATCACCATTGCCATGAGTATTCCTTCAACAAGGGCTGACACAGAGAACAATTATACTTATTGGGCATGTTTATCAATCTTGGCTGGCAATAATGCCTAGATGTAATCGCTCTGTGACACAGTTACACATGCTTTCTGATCTCAGTATTTACCATAATGAATCTGCTCCTATAATTGAGGCATACCACCTTCAAAAACCTATTTGTAAACAGGATTGGACCCAGTTAGAAATAATGAACATACCTGTTTAGGAAGATTGCATTGCAGAACTGGCAGAGGTGCTGCACAAGGATTCCTATGGAATCATTATTAATTGGTCCCTTAAGGCCAAGTTTAGCTTGAATTGCACCTCTCAGTATGCATGCCATGGCCACACTACATTCAGATGATCTGAACAAAATGGTCAGATGGTAGAAATGATAAGAAGTACAGCAAGAGTTCCTGTTATCTGGAACCATGGCGGTATAGTGGCACCTCAACCTCAAATGATATGGCCCTCTGTAGGAGCTAAACACAAGGATTTGTGGAAATTATTAATAGTTCTTAATAAGATCAAAATTTGGGAATGAATAAAAAAGCATCTAGAAGGACACTCTACAAACTTGTCTTTGGATATTGCAAAATTAAAGAACAAATATTTCAAGCATCCCAGGCACATCTGACCTTAATGCCAGGAACTGGAGTGCTTGAAGGAGCTGCAGACAAATTAGAAGCTACTAACCCATTAAAATGGACAAAAACACTTGGAAGCTCTGTGATTTCAATGATTGTGCTTTTAATCTGTGTTGTTTGTCTTTGTATAGTCTGCAGATGCTAATCCTGACTCCTGTGAGAAGTAGCTCACTGTGACAAAGCGGCCTTTGCTTTTACCGCTTTGCAAATCAAAGAAGGGGGACATGTTGGGAACAAACTCTCCAAAATCTGGCCATAAACTGGCCCCAAAACCGGCCATAAACAAAATCTCTGCAGCACTGTGACATGTTCATGATGGCCATAACGCCCACGCTTGGAGGTTGTGGGTTTACCGGAATGGGGACAACGAACTCCTGGCCTGCCCAGGGCAGAAAACCACTTAAAGGCATTCTTTTTTTTTTTTTTTTTTTTTTTTTTTTTTGAGACGGAGTCTCGCTCTGTCACCCAGGCTGGAGTGCAGTGGCCGGATCTCAGCTCACTGCAAGCTCCGCCTCCCGGGTTCACGCCATTCTGCTGCCTCAGCCTCCCGAGTAGCTGGGACTACAGGCGCCCGCCACCTCGCCCGGCTAGTTTTTTGTATTTTTTAGTAGAGACGGGGTTTCACCATGTTAGCCAGGATGGTCTGGATCTCCTGACCTCATGATCCACCCGTCTCGGCCTCCCAAAGTGCTGGGATTACAGTTAAAGGCATTCTTAAGCCACAAACAGTAGCGTGAGTGATCTGTGCCTTAAGGACATGCTCCTGCTGCAGTTAATTGGCCCAACCTATTCCTTTAATCCAGCCTATCCCTTCATTTCCCATAAGGGATACTTTTAGTTAATTTAATACCTATAGAAACAATGCTAATGACTGGCTTGCTGTTAATAAAAACATGAGTAAATCTCTGTTTGGGGCTCTCAACTCTGAAGGCTGTGAGACCCCTGATTTCCCACTTCACACCTCTGTATTGCTGTGTGTGTGTCTTTAATTCCTCTAGCGCTGCTGGCTTAGAGTCTGCCCAACCAATCTGGTCTCAGCAATGAACAGAATCTGAGGCACCAAAATGATAAATCAGGAAGGGGCATCTGTGGAGGGAATCATGTGGCAATAACAATGTCCATATAGGGTGAAACTGACTGTTCAACAATTGTGGGCCGCTGCTATTTTCACCCTTTCAATGATTAAATGTTAAATCACCTGACAATACCAAATGTTAGAGAGTAAGTATATGAAACTTCATAGTATCTTATATAATGTAAGTGGTAACACGTATTGGTACTATCACTTTGAAAAACAATCTGTTGTCTTATGAAGCTGCAAGTCACATATCTCAAAACCTACCAATTCAATTTCAGAGTACACTCCCAAGAAAAAGTCTTGCACATACATATACACTAGGAAATATGTAAAAGGATATTAATGTCTGTGCTGTTCACAGTAAGAAAAATCTGGTGGGGAGGGGGGATCCAAAGATTTTCATTGAGGTTTTAATTTCCATTTCCCTGATGATTAGTAATAAAGAACATTTTTTATATATGTTGGCTATCTGTATGTCTTCTTTTAAGAAATGTCTTTTCGATACAATAACTGAACTGATTGCAGAAAAGTTCGCTAGGTGGCTTTGGAACAACCCAGTTCCCCTACTTTCTTGCTTGTAGTATTCAAGAATATCTGTAGAATGTGCTGGGAGTACAACATCCTAAAATAAGGAGAAAGCAGCTGGAACAGCCTGGGCTCTATTCCTGTCTCCACCAAGCACAAGATGTCCTTCAACCCTTTAGCGCAGCGTGTCAAGTGAACTTGGGGTAGAAAACCCAAGGTGAGCTGCTTATTGGGGTCCCTCAGCTGTGATGCAAGAAGAGCACGTGCAGTTAAGACTCCATCTACCCTAGGAAGAAGCTTTCTGAGTTACAAGGGACCAACACACAATGAACCCTAGTCTTGCTATCCCTTGCTGCCTGTCTGTAAGTACAAATTTGTTTCATATAACTTGCATATGAATATCTTATGTCTCAGTTGATTCAGAGAAGTTGGCAAGCAGTGCACAGTTAACCTGCTTCACACTTACAATTTTCTGATCTTTCACAAATTACTGGGCATTGGTCTTACATCACTGCTCTTTTTGAACCCCAGGATATGGTAGATACAACCATTCAGTTTATACATTTATTTATTTTTGGGATGAAGTCTTGCTCTGTCGCCCAGGCTAGAGTGCAGTGGCATGATCTTGCCTCACTGCAACCTCTGCCTCCCGGGTTCAAGCAATTCTCCTGCCTTAGCCTCCGGAGTAGCTGAGACTACAGGCACGTGCCACCACACCTGGCTACTTTTTGTATTTTTAGTAGAGATGGGGTTTCAACATGTTAGTCAGGCTGATCTCAGTCTCCTGACCTGGCTCACGCCTGTAATCCCAACACTTTGGGAATTAATCTTTAGAACTGGGCCATTTTCTTTAACCACCACCAACCTCCCTCCCGAATAATCCTTTGAGTTTCCCTCCCATCACCCTTCATCGCAAACACCACACCCACACCCTGCCTTCAGCCAGTATCCATCCCACACACTCTAGCTCAAAGATACAGACATACGTCTTTCCCACAGCCCTGGCTCTCGGTCTCTCCTGTACTACTACCAGACGCTTGGGGTCAGAAATCGGATATCTACACTTCCCCGTCTCCCAAAAGAGCTTCCCTCCTTAGGCGTCCGGAGGTCTCTTGCATTTTCCACTGCTAATTCCATCTGTCTTCACTAGACTCACTTCCGACAACTTGCTCCAGGAGGGGACTACGTGGACACTGAAGGCGACTTGGGCGGTTCCTCTTCTGATGCAGTTAGCTCTCAGTTAGCTGACCGGCCAGTTCTCCTGGATCTCTCCGGGCTGGACCGACTCCTAAGCAGGAGGAGCATAAAAGGCGGCGGGCCCCGCAAGCTTGATCTTCTGAATCTCCTTGTCGCTGTAAACTTCCGCTGGAAAGAAGCGATGCACTGGCAAAGCCGTGTGAGGGGGGCTTTTGGCTCCAGAGAGACAGCGCGAGAGCTCCAGTGGGAACCACCCGGAGACCCAGAAGATCGAATTCGCGGGGCGGCGGGTTACCTTCCAATATCCGCGGGGCCACAGCTCAGAACCAGGATCAGCGGTTCTAGAGTTTCTCCACGGGACAGGAGCGCGTTCTTTGAATTGCCCCGGTGCGGCGTGCACAGCCTTCGGACCAAGAGTCCACGTCCGCCACCCAGGAGTAACCTCAGGCGCAGGCAAGAGTGGCGGCCGCAGCCTCGTTGGAAGAGCCGGGTCACTGGCTCCGCGGCAGCCACGAGCGCCAGGATCTGCCGGCTTCGAAAACTGGCCGCGGGAGCAGAGAGGTCTGAAGATGGGGACCTCTCGGAGCGTCGTCGCCCTGCTACTGAGCCTTGGAGGCCACCGGGCTCGGTCTGGAGGCCTCTTTGTGCAGCATAGGCCGCCTGTCCGCCAAGAAGACCGTAGCCTGCCTGGGACGGCCGCCCTGGGCGCTCAGAAGCCAGGAGATGTCCAACGAGGCCCTTGAGTTCCTGATCCTCTGCCCAAGAACTGGGTTTCCGTAATGCCTCTGTTCTGTTCCCATGCCACTCAAGAGGCTGTGGCTGAGCAGCGCTTCGGATACATTGTCCTCTTTAGTCTGTTTTCGGGAAAAAATCCAACGCCAAGGCAAAAGTCTGCATCGCGTGTGTTTCTGGCCTAGCTTTTGGGGATGGATGGACCAATGCAAGGGCTGGTCTGACTGGGGGTCCCTGTGCTGTCCCAAACCACGCCAACGCGAACACTCTCAGGCTTTCTGGCCAGGGAGCAGGGAAGGAGCCAAGGAACAGACTTGCCCCTTCGTGCACCTTCCTACAAACACACTGCACAGCCTAGGCTTCCTGTTTACCTGGAGCACCAGGTCCATCCCAGAAAACTTACCATCCTTCTCCTCGTCCACCTTCTCTTCCTTCTCCCCCTCCTTCTCAGACTCTCCTCACACCCTCTGTGCATCTGAAGCCTGCACACAGAGAAAACAGCCCTTTGTCCCCACCTCCCCCTTCCCACTCCCAGCCATAGAGTGTACTTAGTGCCCCCCAGCCCCGTCAGGATGTGCTTTATTCCGACCCTTATTCCAACTGGGGAGACCTTACAGGTGCCTTTCCTCCCCTAGTTCAAAGGGACCTTGAGTCTACTGGAGCCAGGGAACCCACACCCTGGATACCTCCATGGACTTCACAACATACACAGCCCCTGGTGGGGCAAAAGACCATTCCTTGGGGCAAGAAACTTCTGTGGTGGCTTGTAGGCTCCTGTTTCTTTTCTGGGACCTCTTTACCCAGTTCTATGCTTTTCTCTTCTCTACTGGGAATGAGGAAAGGAAAAGACCCTCTCACATGTTTTGTATTGTTTTATACTCAGTACCTGTTTTAAGAAAAAACCAGGAAGTAAAACCAAAGACATGCAGCCCAGCGCCAGGCCCGAAACCAGGCCTGGGTCTGCCTGGCCTAAACCCAGTACTTAAAAATCAACTCATAACTTAGAAACCAATGTTATTCACAGATTCCAGACACTGTGTAGAAGAACAATGTGAAACTCCCCGCCCTGTTCTGTTTCTCTGTGACCATCGGTGCATGCAGCCCCTGTCATGTACCCCCTGCTTGGTCAAATCAATCACGACCCTTTCATGTGAAATCTTTAGTGTTGTGAGCTCTTAAAAGGGACAGAAATTGTGCACTTGAGGAGCTCGGGTTTTAAGGCAGTAGCTTGCCAATGCTCCCAGCTGAATAAAGCCCTTCTTTCTACAACTTGGTGTCTGAGAGGTTTTGTCTGCGGCTTGTCCTGCTACAGGAAGATTTCAACCCTCCCCTCCCGCCCCCTGCCCACTCTCACAGTACACACACACAAACACACACACACAGGGACACATCCACCTGAGGCTGTCGCCATGTTGCCGTTGCCCTCCTCTGTCCTGCCTGGAGTCTTCTGTTGTCTCCATGTGTAGCTGAAGGTGGATGTTGTTGCTCATCCACCTTCACTGCCCTATGCTCACCACACTGAAGAGCCAAAGTAGTAAAATGGGATTGATTTTTGTCCTCTGGTGGACCAGTAGCTGTCCTGATTTCTGCCTCACACTCCAAGGGAAGTGCTCGAATGCTTTTTACAGCTTGGGTAACCTGTTGATCCATCAGCATGGCCTATCACAGATAGGACCCAGATTATCTACCTGTTTTCTGGAGACAGTCTTATGCTACCCTGGAAGTCCCTCACTGCTCTTCCTGGTCTTCTTTTCTCAGCCAGGAGATAGAGGAAGAACATCCGTGTAGTTAAGAAATCAGTGACTGCCTGAGTTTCCTCACTTCCGCATCACTGCCCAAGCCATGTCAGTTAGGCATCTCATGAGTCATCCAATGTGTCCTGGATGAGACCATTGTAATAGCCCTTGAAGTTCCAGAAATGGTAATGGTCCTGCTGAAAGCCCCTGGCCTAGTATTCCCTGGCATAATTTGGAATCCAGTTTCCCATTAACTGTTGCCAACTTTGAAATGCAAAGGCATCAGCACAGGTGCTGTGCTTTCTAAAGTTCTAGCAGACACAGGGTCAAAATCTGTAAAATAGTAAAAGACATTTATTCGGAGCCAAATATGAGTGTCCAATGGCCCATAAAAGAGCCCTCAGGAGATCCTGAAAACATCTGCTTTAGGTGGTCAGGGCACAACTTGGTTTATATATATTTTAGGAAGACGTGAGATCGATGCCTGAAAGATGTACATTGGTTCAGTCCAGAAACACCGGATAACTGGAAGCAAGATCTTCCAAGTCCAAGGCAGATTCAAAGATTTTCTTATTGGCAATGTAGTTAAACAATTATCATCACTAGAAAGGAGTGTCTGGGTTACCATAAGGTGTTGTGGAGACCAAGGTTTTCCCATGCAGATGAGGCCCTCCAGGTAGCAGTCTTCAGAGAGCTAGATAGTAAACGTTTCTCACCAGACTGAAAGAGTCAGTTCTATCATTAATTCCAAAAGAGAAGAGAATATTATGGGGCATGTCTGGACCTCCCTTTCCATCATGGCTTGAAACTCTTTTTTTTTTTTTTTTGAGACTAACTATTTTATTTTATTTTATTTTTTTCGGAGTCTTGCTCTGTTGCACAGGCTAGAGCGTGGTGGCACAGTCTCAGTTCACTGCAAGCTGCAAGCTCTGCCTCCTGGGTTCACGCCATTCTCCTGCCTCAGCCTCCTGAGTAGCTGGGACTACAGGCGCCTGCCACCACGCCTGGCTAATATTTTTGCATTTTTACTAGAGATGGGGTTTCACCGTGTTTGCCAGGATGGTCTCGATCTCCAGACCTCGTGATCCTCCTGCCTCGGCCTTCCAAAGTACTGGGATTACAGGCATGAGCCACCGTGCTGGGCCTGAGACCAACTCTTGCTCTGTCACCCAGGCTGGAGTGGATTGACACGATTTTGGCTCACTGCAACCTCTGCTCCTGGGTTCAAGCGATTCTCCTGCCTCAGCCTCCCTAGTAGCTGGGATTACAGGCGCTCACTACCACACCCAGCTAATTTTTGTATTTTTAGTAGGGATGGGGTTTTACCATGTTGGTGAGGCTGGTCTTGAACTCCTCAGCTCAGGTGATCCACCCACCTCAGACTCCCAAAGTGCTTGGATTACAGGCATGAGCCACCATGCAGTGGCGGGGGGCGGGACGGGAACTACTTTTTCAGGCTAACTTTGAAATCCCCTTGGCTGAGAGAAGGGGTCCATTCAGATGTAAGTGTGGGGTCTTCAAATTTTATTTTTGCTTTACAGTAACAATGAAGTAATAACCATATACAAGTTTAGCAAATGATTGAGCCCTCATCCATTGTGGTTATATTTATGTCCTGGTCTGAAAACCAATCCCAGTCCCCATTTTTAAATTGTTTTCGTAACTATTCCTGGATACAAGGACTCTACTGGCCGGGCCCAGTGGCTCACGCCTGTAATCCCAGCACTTTGGGAGGCTGAGGCAAGTAGATCACCTGAGGTCGGGAGCTCCAGACCAGCCTTACCAACGTGGAGAAATCCTGTTTCTACTAAAAATACAAAATTAGCTGGGCATGGTGGTGCATGCCTATAATCCCAGCTAGTCAGGAGGCTGAGGCAGGAGAATTGTGTGAACCCGGGAGGCGGAGGCTGCAGTGAGCTGATATCGTGCCACTGCACTCCAGCCTGACTGACAAAAGCGAAACTCAGTCTCAAACAAATGAAAGGAAAAAAAAGGACTTTACCTGTCAGAGTTCAGATAGGAACAGAAATCAAAGCAGCCAACACCATGAGAGCCAAACTAATGCGCTGCCACTTTACTGCCAGGCCATAACCAGAATAACTGTTCATCTTTTTACTGTCTCATGTCCCACCAAGTCAGCCTACCATTGTCAAAGACTAACTGCGACACTGTTGGCAAGGCAAATTTAGAAATGGAGGTTTTAGGAGTCCAGGCCCACAACTCAACAGAGAAGACAGAAAGGCCTAAATGTGCCTGAGCACAAAGAATAAACATAGTAAAACAAAAACGAGGTGTGTTTTTAAAGCTACATTTAACAAATGTCTTCTTTCAACACAGAAACACTGTACTAACTACAAGATTACACAACACATTTTATTAGATGACACAGTGCGATAGGCAATGAGGTCCTCTAATTGATCACAGTTTTAAAATTGAGACATGACCATTTTTGTTCCCATCCATGAAGCTCTGTGTCTGTAGGTACAATCTCAATTGGAGGAAAAATCTAACATCTACATTTGAGGTTCTTCATGAGTCTGAGGCCTTGGCCAATTGCACCTTCTATGGATATCCCCTCACTGCATTGGCTCCAAGCCTATACATCTTATTAGATTTAAGCTTAGTCCTCTGTCCTCTGATTGGGGTCTTGGAACCATGAGGCTGGCTATTGGGATATCTTCATCAAAGATTTTTCAGATTTTTAAAAACATTTTTTCAAAAATAGGGATCAAAGGATAGCAATTAGGTTCCAATGAGAGAATAGAGATCTGAAATATGAACCTGGGTTTCCAGTGTTGTTCCACTTATTTTTTAAAAATCAGACTATGCAGTCTCATTCCTACCTATTTCTCTGCATGGCCATTTTTACCAAGTACTTCCATAATATAATCCAACTTACAAATATTTATAATATGCAGCTGAATTCAATACTGTAAACTTAAGAATCATATCTCTTTAAGTAACCCCTTAACAGCTATCTGATTATGGTTAAAATCCAGGTATTCTAATTCATTCTGGAAGCAGATACCTCTCAGATGCACTCTAAGTATATTCATGTCCTCCATAGGCTCACTCTAAAGGAGACAAAGTTCTAGCTGCACTAGAAAGAAACATTTGAGTCATTCCAGATTGTCCAACCTACAAAGGTTAAAGTCAGACCTTCAAAACAACTGAGTTCACTGGGGTTCAACATCTCGACATTTTTATGCCATATATTCACATATCCACTTCCCTATTTTGAAATACAAAGCAGCAT